ATACGTGAGATCAAAGAGCGGTTCGATGTTGTCTTTCAACCTCAGTTCCAGGGTGCGGAGGTGGCAGATTTCGAGGAAGGAGAATGTGTCCTGCCCGAGGTTCAGGAAGCGTATTTCCTGAAGGCGAATACTGGGCCATGCTTCTTGCTTGAGGGAGTTCTGTCCAGGCCGTTCATTACTATGAAGCAGAGTAAAGGACCTTCGGGTAACTTTGCTATCACGAGTATTGAGTCTGGGAGCGAGTTGGAGAACTCAGTGCTGAGCAAGGGGTTTATGTTCGAGAAGGTACATCAGGTGTATCATGTCCTAGATGGTGCGATATCGCTTACGGTGAATGGCGAGACAGGACATTTGGTCAGGGCGGGCGAGACGGCATTTATACCGGCAGGCACAGAGGTGGCACTCGAGTTTGTGGATAGGTATGTGAGGTTCTGGTCGTATGCCAGTGGAGACGGACTAGAGACATTGATTGCAGAGGCCGGAGGCGCTTTCGAGGGAAAGATGGTGCCTGATGAGATAAGAAGTGTGGACGCGGATAAGGTCCGCGAGGCCGCAAAGCAGTTGAACATCAAGGTCAGCATATAGTTGATCTTGCCATACTCTCGCCTGAGCGTGGAGAGATGGGCAGGCGTTGGCTGTTTGTACCAGCGATTAGCCGCTAATGCAAGAACCCAACAAATCTGTCTGCAGAAGGAAATATCCACATGCATGTGCTGCATCCGAAGTACTAATGTGTTGATACAAAGCGAACACCTCACTCCTGGTATGCACACTCCCTCTGATCTACTGCGAAAGTGAAGGTGGCAGCTCTATGACTAGTCTCGATCTAGCTAACATCTTTGAGCTAGAGATAGCTTATATAAGCCCAATTCAAGACTAGTTGATGCTACGTCAGTGTGGTCTGTGTGATTCGATACAGTGCCTTTACCCTAGCACGCCAGGGTTGTACACTTATGGAAGTCGGTAACAATGACAACACACATCGCAGCTGATGACAACATCTTTGCGGGAAGCGGCAGCGACAGTGATAATGAGGGTGGTTACAAACCTCGCCCTCAATTACCGCAGCCGAACGTCAATATGCGAAGTTTGGCGAATCTGATAAGTATTTTTAAGCCTAGATGAATAGACACAGATGGCACTGCTAAAATTTGTCAGAGGAACTCGACAGCGGCGTCATTGACGTTGATCCACAATATCAACGTGAAGTTGTCTGGACAGGTGAGCACATCCAGTTTAGTCATCACAGAAGCACACTGACAGTGATAGCCGAGCGTATGACAGGTCTGGTCAATTCTTTGATGGGTATAGTCTCTAAGCAATGTCAAAGCCAGATCAGCTTGCTAACGATCGTATAGAAAACTATTACATCCCGCCCATCATTCTGAATAAGAAGTGGAGTGCTGGCACGGATGGTAGTACACCACGCGATACTCTTGTTTGTGTGGATGGCAAGCAGCGTCTGTCTTCTATTAGGGCATTCGTAAAGGGCGTGATTCCTTGCCATGATCATAAAGGCGAGAGATGGTAGACAGCCCAAACATTGTCCTACAGCGACTCACTGACAGTCTTAGGTGGTTTTGCAAGACTCCTGGCACCAAACACAAGAGAGTGCTCCCTTTGGAGACGCAAAAGATGTTCTTGGAAAAAGATTTTGTCGCCTTCCAATTCACAGATCTTACTCAGGAACAAGAAGAAGATCTTTTTGCTAGAGTGCAGATGGGTGTCCAACTCACTGTGGCCGAGAGGATGCGCGCGAAGCAGGGCCCATGGCAAGAGTTGGCGAAACTTTTCGTGGATGATTTTCCGGCTATCTACGGCTTGATGAAAGACCGAGCCCGAGCAAAAGACTTTCAAATCACCTTGTCTTGCTTTAGCCAAATCATCGAAGTCAAGCATCCCACTGCTGCAAATAGTCTACCAGTTCTAAAGACGAACTACAACGCACTACCCAAACTATTGAGCAACACTGGCGCTGTAGATGATGCCATCAAATCACATCTTGCGAGCGTCTGGAATACTCTAAGAGAACTTATAGAGCGAGATTCAGACACTTTTACAAATGCTGACAAGCATCTGAGTGGTGTGCAAACGTTCGCGCCCATCGAGATGGTAGCAGCAACCGTCCTTATCTCGATGTACTCAGAAACACGTAACAACGAACTACTGCTTGGCGATATCAGAGCTCTTCGAGAGGTACTTCGTGAGCAGTTCAAGGACCTTCGCTTGAATGCGACGGTTTGGAAGTTTGTCTGGGACTTCGTCGAAAACCTGGCGGCCATCCGAGGCGCGGTAGATGGCACTACGGTGGATCGAAACCATCAGGATCAGGCCTCAAAGTCGATGTCTTCTGGCGCCGCGAAAGCAACAGCAACCGTGTCTTCGTCACCTTGCCTTCCAAGAAAAAGAGCAACATCTGCGAAAGAACAAGTCTCCACCTTGCCACCGCGGAGTCCAGTGGAAGTGAAGAAAAAGCCACAATCACGCATCGCCACGTCAAAACGAAAGCGAACTGGTCCCGCACCTGCTTCCCTGGCTCCAGCCTCAGACTTGTCGAATGTAGCTCCGCAAGCATACCACCAACACCACATACCTCCAACGCAATTGCAAGACCCACAGAAGTCCAACGTGCACACCCCTTTCACAAAAGAGCCTGAAGATCTGCAGGTCCTAAAGACTGGCATCTCAGGATCTAGTGACTATTGTACATCAATAGCTCCTATGCAGCAGTCAACACATCTCTGTTCAATACCCGATCGTATTCCTGAGATGGCCCAAGGTTCACACAACGCTTTCGCGATATCACAATCTCCAAACATGATATCACGTCATCCTACAAGTCGCGGTGCGTTTGCGCCAACTCACACAGACAAGCAGTGGGAGGGTGTCATCGCATCCCCAGCTAAGGCTCCAGTCGCGCCAATTTCAAATAAGCGGAAGCGAAAAAGCGTTACACGCCCTACCTCTGTCCAGTGCAAAGAGGCCATCGATCTGACAAGTGACAACGAGCTCGAAGAAGAACGACAGAATCTTCTATCCTCTTTCAAGGCCAAACCTATTCCTACAAAGCAACCTTCTGCTCCAGCCACACCCGCAGCAAAAGCATCCACTGCTCCGACGCATCGTGATTACGTGGTAGTGCATGATATCGATTCCGACGAAGAACTGGCAGCTGCAAATAACCCTTATGAGAAATTCCAGAATAATCCTAGAGCAGGACTTTCTAGCTCGAGAGGAGGGTAATGGCGTAGGGGCCGCATCAACAGAGCAGGTCTGGGGGCATTTTCATTTATTTTGGCTTACATCTTAGACTTCTAGCATAGTGATACCCCATTTAAAGTATATATATGAGCATGTTGTCTACCTATATCTCTTACTATTGGCGTGCATGCTGGGAGGTCGTAAGCACTAGCTGGTACCTACCCACTGTGTAGTAAGCACCTCACGACATAACACACTCGCGCTGGTAACCCCGTACGTTGCATCAACATCGCCTTCACACGCGGACATCAAACTATGAATCACTTTCGACTTGTAGATAAGACCCGAAGGGTTAACGAGACGCGTCCGATGGAAGACGTCATAGCGCGCTTTCGACCTCGGCGTTTTCGCGACAAAAGCACCGCGAACGGACCGCTCCGTCAACTGGTACGTACGTAGGCCAACTATGCTCCCGATCCCAGTGGGAGGCGACCAACAGGATATCCGCGGAGTCTGAGACTACATCTCTATCAAACGAACAGCCGCAACAAAGTACGCGTCCCGGACCAACGTCAAGGGGCATCATCTATATCTTGTGCCATATCGCAGACCATCTGTTTGCGCTGCTGTTGTACGGATACAACTTCGTCATACCCGCATCTTGTGAGAAAACAAAGCGCATCAACATGGGGAAGTCTTTCGACCCGTCCAAGGATATTGGGAGCCTAGAGGGGAAGGTCATCTTAGTTACGGGTGGTACGTATCTCCCAATGTCTACCAAGCGCTGTCATACCATTGTTCTAACCTACAAGCAGGCAACGCTGGGCTAGGCAAACAAACCATTGCATACCTCGCTGCCCATAACCCTACGCGCATATACCTCGCCGCTCGTACCGAGTCCAAAGCCCGCGACGCTATCACCGACATCAAGAACAGCGTCCCAAATGCCTGCGAAATCGTACATCTACCACTCGATCTGACGTCCTTCTCTTCCATCGCAGACGCAGCATCGACGTTCAAGAGCCAGGAATCGCGACTTGATCTACTCATTAACAATGCTGGTATCATGGCGTCCCCATATAGCACGACCAAAGAGGGTTATGAGATACAATTCGGCACCAACCACATGGGCCACGCGCTGCTCACAAAGCTCCTCATCCCGACAATGCTAGATACAGCAAAGCAACCCGGCGCCGATGTCAGGATCGTGAACCTGAGCAGCATGGGCGAACGTCTTGCCGTATCCAAAGGCATTGAATTCGACCAACAAGCGCTCGAAAAGGAAAACACATGGCGTCGCTATGGCGCCTCGAAATTAGCGAACATACTCTTCGCTCGCTCCCTCGCCCTCGAATACCCTACGATAACATCTGTGTCTCTACACCCTGGTGTTATTCTAACAGACCTCTTCAATAACCTCCGCTCGAACGTATTCTTGAAGGTCGGGCTATGGATATACGGACTAGTGGGCATGATACTGCCAGGTCATTACCAGGGCCCTGAAGGTGGCGCGTTGAACACGACATGGTGTGCCACGACTGCGAAGGACCATCTGGAGAATGGCGCATTCTACATGCCTGTAGGAAAGAAGGGCTCGGGAAGTGGACACGCGAGAGATGAGGGGCTGCGGAAGAAGTTGTGGGAGTGGACTGAGGAGGAGTTGAAGAAGCACGGGTATTGATCTCGAATGTCTTTCAGGTTAACTGAGTACAGGGAAGGAGATGGGAACTACGCCTGCTTGCGATAACACTCTACATTTCTAGCTTATATTATTACAACTTAAGACCAATATCCACGGCTCAGACTGGTTCCGACGGCAGCCTAGGCAACGGTGGTAACTGCTTCCCGCTAGTGATCTCGACTTTGAAGTCTTTCTGAACGTTAACCTGAATGCCATCGCCACTTGGTCGCTTGTTAACAATACGCTTCTGGCTTCCATCATCACGTTCAGAGCTTATATTGCTGATTTCATCCAAGTCACCTGAAAGTTGGAGTAGGATGTCAGTAGGCGTCTCACACGCAGTTTGTCCGGCAACCTTACTAACCATAGATTTTCGTCTCGACACCCACATCCTTGGATTTGTTACCCAGATGGTTGTTCAGTCCAGTGCTCTCTGGTCGCTCGTCAAGCTCCATCCAGTGTTTCGATGCGGGATCGCCACCACGCAGTGAGCCACGTGCATATGGCTTCTTCGATGAGCCATAATTGTGTGAAGGTCCAGACCGGCTTCGGAACGAAGACGAAAAGTGCGAGATGAGATTGGTGAGTATGGGACGGCAGGCGGGCAGATTGGCGACAAACATGCCGACATTCATCTCAGCGCAAGCCCAGGCGAGGATCTCGCCGAGATTCTGTAGAAGCCTGTTCGGATCGTTTAAGCCGATGAGGAACTTAAGACGCACGATTGGAGCAATTGAGGCGCTGTCGTGTATATGTCAGCGGCATGGTCAGGTAGCATTGTTGCCCGAAATTGCAAATTCACTTACAAGACTCCTAGACCAAGCATGGCTATCACGGAGCTTTTGACTCGCCAGTCTAGCTGTACATCCCAAAGCAGGAATATGGGCAGGGTCGCAAAGATCCAGTCCGTTGATATCGACACCACGGCGACGGCGTACGAAAGTGCCGTCTGAATAGTGCGCTCTTTACACGCCCCTGGCATATTAACATACCAGTTCTTCCTATCTCTTCGTTAGCTTCCGGCGTTTTTCAAACGAGAACCGCAAAACATACTGTACGGGCGAGCATTGGAAGAAGAGGTACATTCCCGTCCCGCCCATGACGATCGCACAAGACAACATGCATATGTAGATGACCATCTCGATCCATTTCTTGCCGCTTGCGATTCGAATCAAGGCAAATCCGATGCTGCACTTGATCGCGATGAGAGTGAAGCACCACGGCTCTTGGAAAATGTAGAACCACTTTTCGTTGTTAATTCGTCTTCTCAATAACAAGTCTGGTCGAGGCGAGTGAAAGACTGCGACATACCATTAAAGAATTAGAGTATTGATACTCGCTCAACGAGCCATCGTACTGACCAACGCCACTCCAAGCCATAGCGATTGTGGCTATGGTACTCACCGACCAGAACGGCTAGGCTGATGTCAGTAGATGCTGAGCCTTGACATCCGTAATGCTCACCAAGTTGATCAACATAGCCCAGTCATCTGGTCCCCATGCTTTCCTTTTGTAACGGATCCAGAACCGTAAGATGGTCGATACGATGTCGAATGGTAATGGGATCAAGACCGCTAGGGCCATATCGCGAGATGTCGGTGGCGCCATGGCCTTGCTTGACCTTCAGAGAAGACTGAATCGAAGAGAAGGACAATAAGGTTCACCGAATCCACGCAGCGCAAGCACCGGGCATGCAGAGTAATAAGAAGTACACAACAAAAGCTGGAGAAAGGAGCGCCACTGGCTCATCCACAGAACGCTCGCCCCCCAGCCTTTCAACACCCCGGATTAGGCTGTGATCGTCGCGGCTCCGAATCTCTGGGATACGATGACCGTTTGAGGCCGCGCAAGTTTGATATTAATAACGGTAACGGGGCGGTAGAGCGGCAGAGGCTTCTTAGTACCGGGACTGTCGCCCGCCTGCAGTAGTTCCCGGTTCGACACATGTCCGATGCTTTTGGATCTATTGATGCTCAGGAAGCACACTCTCCACAGCAATCTCATATCGTACCAGCCTCGGAGAGCTAATTCGCTGGAGCTCTATATTGTTGAGCGTGATATGTTCCATGGATTTGTTCTTTGAATGGTCGAGCAATGTCTGGATGGTGCTCCCATATCATTTCCGAACGAACTGATGCATTTTCAAGACTGAGTCCAGACTTTTGTGCAAGGCGGTGGGCCGGAAAAACCCTCCTACGTATGTGCTGCAGTCCTGTTTCAAGAATTGTCCTGTACAAGGATTTGCACATCGCCAAGTGCTGTATGAACGGGGATGTGGTGGAGAACTGCCTGATGTTGGTGAGCGTCCAGGTCCGTTGAACGAATCCACACCCCCACGCACGCTGCTGTCAGGGAGAATGTGACTTCCAACGATACGGGAGACTCTCGCGTTAGTTCCTGTAGCCCCTCAACCACCTGCAAACGCCAACACAGATACCATCGCAATACTGCCTCGATTGACATAGTCTTCTGATGCTCGGTATAGTTGTGCACGTCAGGCGCTACTTCGGGGAATTTAGTGTAAGACCCACATCATGAAATAAGAGTCTCCACTACCAGGCATTCCTACACAGACCCTAGAGTTTGAAGAAGTCAAGGGTTCCCCGCGCTACCGGTATCGCGCAAGCGGTGGGCGTTGTACACGTACTTCGTCCTTGGATACTTGAATAGGCCGCATACCCGTGATACATTCCATAGAACTTAGAAAGTCCAATTATGTCACCACCTAGAGTCTTCGAAGGCAAGCTTGCCATCATTACTGGCGCTTCGCGAAGTACGTCCTACCATGAAATGATACTCCTCTCCTGAGCAACGTGAATACATACCAGTGAATGGGAAACTGACTTACGTCTAGGCTTCGGCGCCGCACTTGCCACACACTTCGCCTCGCGCGGTGCTAACGTTGTGATCAACTATGCAACATCGAGCTCCGACAAGATCGCAGCGGAGTTGGCAAATCATCTCTCCACAACGTACAATATCACCGCACTCCCCGTACGCGCCGATCTCCTCGACCCTTCCGCTCCCGCGACCATCGTCAATGCGGCAAAGGCTGTTTTCACGAACCCCACAGCCACACCCTCGTTCCAGATCGATATACTGATCAACAATGCTGCGGTCGTGAATGCGCAACCTATCCAAGAACTTGACGTAGAGCTATGGGACCAAACCTTCAACATCAACTGCAAAGCTCCTGCGCTTCTCATCAAAGCTGCATTTCCCTACCTTCCACACGACAGGTCTGGTAGGATCGTCAACATTTCTTCCGCGACTACGACATGGGGTCTGATCCAACAGACGTCCTATGCCGGCACCAAGGGCGCGATAGAGGCTATGACGCGTGTTTGGGCGCGTGAACTCGCTGAGCGCGCAACTGTCAACAGTGTGAGCCCTGGTCCTATGGATACGGGTCTTTTGAACGGGCTGCCGGAGGCGCCGAAGCAAGCGTTAAGAATGTACAACGCATTGATCCCGTTAGCAAAAGAGAGACCAGGAGTGGACAGCGAAGAGACTCTGAGATTAGCGGACGAGATTGGTGGTAGGCCGGGCACGCTCGAGGAGGTGGCAGGTATCGTAGGTATCGCCTGTTTGCCTGAAAGTGGTTGGATGACGGGCAATCAGCTAGGCGCGAGCGGAGGCGGTGCTTTCGTTAGATGAGAATATTCCCTTTGAATATGCACGTAGCTACAGGCAGCAAACTATATTGAGTACGATTCCTTGATTACTTTTCTGAGGCGTGGTAATGATTGTGACACGAGAAGTCGAGTGCTCTAGTCAGCCACGCGATGCCAAGCTTTCTCTAGCGCCTCGCAGCGGAGATAGCATGCTATGCAACAGCAAGCGACATCCGGCTTTCGTGGTCATCATCGCCTGACAACATGACATTTTCATCTCGCTAAGAAGAATCTGTGGCACCCAGGACTCTGATACGACAACGTATAAAATTTACAATGGGGTGTTCGTTGCAAGCACTCCAAGTGCGCGAGGCGATGAGCGTGCTTGGCGCTTCCTTCGGCAACTGAAATCTGCCGCATTCCTTGCTCCTGCAGCAACGATTCTCGCCTCACTTATCGCATGTCTACGGCGCGGCAGACGGACTCAGACACATATCTGACGACGAACACAGCCTCAGTTTGGTGTACATGATCCAGTCGGAAAATTTGATGAAAAGCGTCAGGTGAATTGGCACTCACGTCAACCTGAATATCATCTAGGGTGATAGTGGCGCTTTCGTCTTCAATTTCGAATGATTCATGCCAGCCATCTAACTCACACTTATATCTTTGGTCGCCAGAATATCCTTCGAGTGGCTCACACAACTACGAATGGTTGGCATGACACTCTCAGAATTATGCGCTCTGTCAAGACGCTAGGAACGCGCATCGTGACCTTCCGGCAGTCGTGATGAGACCCTAACCGTCGTTTCGCATCCAGCCTTATATTGCCCTAACTCGAGTACTTCGCCAAACTCATCTGTTTGCTTCGCATATCCTAACGATCCAGGTTCTCGGAAGCTGAATCGTGGTGTTGTGGTAGGCTGACTCTGTACGACTGATCGCGCAGCTTCAAGAAAGCGATTGAACAGAGGCCTGAGCGTATGCAAAGAGGCGGCTAAAATACCGACATCAAGCTCGATGAAGTTCCACATGGAGAATGTGTCATGTACGAAGCGTTCGGGGTCGTTCAAAATGGTTTTGCTTACATGGGCCTTCATTATCCCAGCAACAGATACAAATATACCGAGCGAGAGGACGAGGGCGAGTATGATTTTGATGCGGATTCGAACTTGAAGACTAAATATGACCGGAATAGGCAGGAGGGCGAGCAAGAAGTCGGTAGCGATGTTGACGACTATAGAAAATTGGCAGAGGTTCATACGGCTCTGGTGCAGAAGACTTACTCGAGTTGAAAAGAGCAACCTGACTAAGGGTACCAACACTTAGACATAATGCGCCGCCTGTGCCCATGGGTGGCGGACGAAGCCTAAAATCCCGTATAGCTGCTACTGGGAGGCACATAAAAACCTGGAAGTGGCAACTTGTTAGTGCTCTCCAATTTCCTGAGGAGTGGTGTGCTCCTTCATATGCTGTTCTTGGTAGAAAAAGAACTTACTGCAAGGCTGTCAGTTTGTTTTGTGACTTGTCAGGGAGAGAACATACCAAGCGTTCCAGTACAAGCGATAATGAACGCAACCAGAAACACGATCAGACTATACAGGAAGTACACATGACTCTTTTGTACAGCTAACCTCAGAAGCATGTAGCTCACAGAGATCTTGACCACTGTCACACCTGCAGTGACACAGATCTGATGAACCAAGCGGACTTTGAGTAGTTGTCGATGTCTAGGTTGATTCATCTGTATGACGGCAAGATGTTTCCCAAGGCCTAAGGGCACTTCCGCAACATAACAACCAAAAGCTATAGTTGCTAAGATCTTTGTAATGCATAGTCAGCAGTGTGCCATAGGTCGAACGTTCGAGCAGTTCCGCGCACCATTGAAACTATGATGGTCCAATCATCCTTGTCGAAGGATTTGAGCATGACAAGGCGTACATAGCAGCGTAGTAGAGTTATTGCCAAAGCGATCCCATAAATGGTACCTGCCTGGAACATCAGACTCGAGGCATTGCTGTACGCAATACCTGCATCTGAGATGGGAGGGATGTTGCTCATGATGATAGGGGGAAGAAAACACTAGTGTATGGGCTATAAAACAAGAAAGACAAATGCGTAACCAGCCCGGTATACGCAGACGTGTAGCACACCATATGTACCATCGACTTGGGCGTGGCAGAGCAACTCGCGCGGGATGAACATGGTGGCCATCCGCATAACATATTAGCCGTCCTCTTGTGATTTTATCACAAGGTGCTCTTTCGCTACTCGGCAGGAAACGGTGTATTTAGTCCCTTGAAACTTCGGAATCCTGTTGTAGAGAACCGGGCGTGTGGCGTGGATCTTGAGATTCCCTGATAGGACATTTGGTATATTCGCTGTGGAATACATATCGGTGATCTGCCAATCACAGGCCTTGCGCAGGAATGACTACCTTGCCGTGAGGTGGTCTATATGACCTAAGCGACCCGTCTCGGATTATCATACCAGCTTTCGCTACCGACTAGATTCGCACGGTAAGCAGTGGGGTGTGCAAGGAGAGGTACTTCAGCTGTGGGCGAGAGAGCGCGAGAGAAATATCATACAGCCAAGCTACTACCCAACCTCGGCCAGCTTTGACGTGATGAGCTATCTAATTACCTGGGTAAATTTCCCGCAATTACGACGATTCCTTCCACGTGTAGCAGTAGCCACGGTATGTTTGTCTCATCCATCTTTCCAAAATCATATTGTACAGCGCAGATCATTGTCTCTTTGCGATATCGCAGATGAACCACCGGCAGATGATAGACGCCGGCTGGGCGAAGGGCGCCCCTTGGAGACGAACGCCACTTGCTGCAGAAACGTCTCTCGGTTCGTTTCTTGTGTGCTTGCGTCACAGCAACCATCTCAAATGAGCTTCCACGAGTGACCACAACGAAAACTTGCGGCTAGGAAATTGCTGTAAAACTACCTGAGTACATCTCATAGTGCAACATAACGAGTGTGAAGAGAAGAGTGCAAAAACCCCAAGCGTCCTTGCTACAACATTCTCCTGGGATGATGTGGCGTAACCGTCCCTCCTCATATCTGATATTCTTACATGGCGCCGTTCATGGAAAACTGCGCCACGGAACGTCCCGCAACGTCCCACGTACCCGGTCCGCCCCCGAACGCTATCGCATTTAGACGGCGCCACCAAGGTCTTGGGCCTGTCTCCAACCGCGGTGATATACCTCCGAGCCGCTAGTTCCTGTACAGGGATTCGAGGGGGCAACTTTTGCTCCTCTAGGGCTTCTGGAGATCAAAACAGCCGACGGCTAATGCATAAGTTCCAAGGCTACTTACATAGCTTTAACGTCCACTGGAAAGCTGCACGTATAAGTCTAAAATCTAGAAAGGACACTGAATCGCTGCTAACATAAAGTCGGTCAGCTCAAACGTTATATTTATGTCTGTCAGTACCGCAACAGCCAGGAAAGACGTTATCCAGTACCTTGTCATCCGTGCCTCTTAACATGAAGGCTACAACTTTGGCATTAACTGTATTTTGTGGTAGCACTAGTGCCACTATTTTAGGTAACGACGCCCTTGCTGCTCAAGCACTGGCAAAACTCTCGCTCAATGTGGCTCAACATGGATACCCAGACGCAGGAAAGTGCACATTGAAGAATGTTGCTGTTCGACAAGAATGGTAAACAGTACAATCAGTCTGTCCGAAACGACTCAACTTATGCAAGTTCTGGTCAACTTTATCGGAAAGTCAGAAGCTCAACTACATCGATGCAGTCAAGTGTCTGGGCAAGAAACCGGCAAAAACACCGGCAGCAATAGCTTCAAGTGCAAGGAGCCGGTTTGATGACTTCATTGTTACCCACATCCTGCAAACGATGAGTATTCATGGAACGGTACGTCGGCAAGGTACGACCATATGCACGTGGCTGATGTGCTTAGGGAAACTTCCTCAGCTGGCACCGCTACTACATCTGGGCCTGCGAACAAGCTCTACGCAACGAGTGCGGATACAAGGGCTATCTCCCGTACAACAACTGGTCAAAATGGGCAAAGGATCCGCTCGCATCGCTCCTCTTTGACGGCAGCAAGACCAGCATTTCGGGTGACGGAGAGTACGTCGCTGGACGAAGATCTCCGTGCCTACCGAACGAGGTGCGCTGCATGGTCACCTTCCACTAGGCGAACGGTGGAGGCTGCATCAAGTCTAGCCCGTTCAAAGAATATGTTCCCCTGATCCGAATCAGAATGGCAGCGGGCTAACACAAGCAGTTGGAAAATCAATCTAGGTCCCATGCAAACGACCGCGAAGGGTGTACCACCGAACCCACAAGCCGATGGTCTGGGCTACAACCCTCGTTGTCTTAGTCGTGATATTAATACCCAGGCCTCCAACGAGACACGAGACGAGATGGTTGTCGACCTTATTACGAACTACCCTGACATCCTTAGCTTCCAGAACAAGATGCAGAACTTCACCCTAGGAGTCATGGGCGTCCACAAGTAAGTTCTACCTACACGAAATGCATGTGAGACATAAACGGACTTCGTATCTTCAAATCTGCAGTGGAGGTCATTACACTATTGGCGGTGACTCTGGAATGGATATGTATGTTACAACTGGCTTTGTTTACCTTATTCCTATCCTTGGATTATTCTTCGTCTTCAGCATAGATCATATATTGACCACATCGCAGGTTCAACTCACCAGCAGATCCATCTTTCTACTTCCATCGCACCATGATCGATAGAGTATGGTGGACGTGGCAAGCCCGGGATCTAAAAAAAAACAGGCCGAATATTATTGCCGGAACCATGACTTTCCTGAACAACCCGCCAAGCCGCAATACTAATCTTGACGATGTCCTGAGTGTAGGATATGTTGGCAAACCAAATATCACCATCAAAGACGCACAGAGCACTATCGCGGGGCCGTTCTGCTATGTGTATGCTTAGTCTTGAAGTCTTGATATGCAAGGTTGTTTTTGTCAAGCTGTACCCTAAGAACAAAGCCCACCTTAAAGGTACACATTGCTACTTTCGTTATGAGTTCGCGGTGTGGAATACCATGTATACTTTTAGAGTGTGGTATGAGTGAGGTAAAACCTAGAAATACAAGCTCTTTCCGTCCTACACTTCTCTTTTTTGATGCAGGAAAGTGATCCGCTCTGCAGCGTCACCGTCCAGCCCACACAACTCGTTGAAGTTTCCGACTTCTTCTCCCCTTTTCCTTGTCCGGGCGGCAAATTCTGCTAGTGGACAACTCTTTCCGGGGCCACTGTCGCAGCCCGGAATAGCGGTGATACCGTCGTTGATGTTGAGTCTGACGAACTCGCCAGGCGAAGATTGAGTATCTGTCTTGCAAGACAATAGTTCGAAGATGATACGTCCATGCATAGGCGCTAAGAGTGGGCATACGAAGTCAGTATAGGTCTCACATGCAGTTTGGAGGGTGGCACTTACAAACCTGAGACTTTCGCCATTTACGGTCGTGGGCGATGTGCGTGATGGGCAGATGTTCTTCGTCATTGATGACATCAAGCGCACACATGAGTGGTGCGATATCACCGTCGTGATTGCTGTCTATGATCAGCTTACTTAGATACGGGTCGGCATAATAGAGGCTTACAAGCTGAAGAACAACGGACCAGCGCCCGGCCCCTCAACCAGCAAATTCGTCGTCGCGTTTAGCCACAGCCACCCCATACTTGCTGCATACTTCTGGCCTGGACCTAAAATTGGGTGTATGAAGTTAGTGCGTGCCGCATGCATATTGTACAGGAGACAATACTAACCTGCACGATAGTAATGCAGAACGTCTCGTGCGTACTCGAAACTGAGGAATTCGTCCTGAGTGAAAACGTTACACCAGTCGCTGCGACCGCGTACTGTAATCTCAAAACCACACATCTCTTGCATGGCATAGATTTCGTGATCCTCGAAGTACATTTCCGTCTGCTTGGCTAGGCGTTCGCGAATGGCAGGCATGTAGCTTGCCCGGTACTCATTCAACAGACGATATCCTTTTCGCTGGCCTTCCATCTCGTCTTTCTTGTTGGCCAAACATGTTCGTCCAGGTGTCAACGTATCAGCACCCAGTGAGGAATGTTCAGAAATGACTTGTAGGATAGCTTTGTTGGCGATATTGTAATCCATGCCGAAGAAACCTGCAGCAAAGTGCTTAGCTGTCTCAATGACACGGTTGGAGTCACTAGCCCAGAACTTGGTGGGGGTTTTTTCAAGAGAGGTACGTTCCAAGAGATGTTGGTAACGGGTGCGCAGACGAACACCGGTACTGAAAGAACTGAGTGTGCCTGCAGTTGTGAGCATACGAAGTCAGTGTATGTCTCACATGCATTTCGTACAGACGTAACATAACTTACCAGCAAAGGGCCCGGTGGATGTCAGCTGTTCTAGATGGGTATCATCCGAAGACCAAAAGAGTTCCCAGTCGTTGAAGAACGTCAGGTTACCTGTGAAAACCCTCCGACTTTCCTTCATACGGTGCACGACTGCTTTCTGGGTACTGCCGGCTTTCATGGTAGGATAACGCTCAGCATGCCGGGACATCATGTGGACCTGTACCACCTCACACCCGTTCGGTAGCTTGATACCTCCATCAACAACATCGATAACCTTCTGCACCCACGGCCCATTGCCCCCAAGGTGGTATAGGATATTCCAATCTTTCGTTACCGCTCCTGCACCAAGACCAGAATTGGTTGTCGTGACGTTGCCTGTATCAGGATGAAACCATGTATTCCAGCTCGAATGATGAGGTTTTTCGGCGCAGTCATGGCCAGGATAATCAGAATGAGTGCTCGAAGCGGCCGATTGGCACGATGGACGACACGGTATTAGACCGAGCGCAGCGAGAAGTATGGACTGGTCATAGCTGTACGTGACTGCTACTATAGCTACAATGACAGCTATCAAAAGGTGCCACGGCATAGACATGGTGGCTTCGAAAATGAAGATGACTCGTGTTTAGAGGTTGAGGATACTCATCTTCGTCGTTGCCGTTGGACGATAACGCGGCGGTGAGAACTCAAACGCTCGTTCCTGCCCAAGAGTGGGTCATACTTCTTGCATCACAGGTTCATGCCTGCTGAGCATACACGCACACATGACGGAAAGTGGTAGTCGTGGTTGTCCGCCTGAGGTATGGTCTGCAACGCTCCGTCTGTCCCTGCACATAGGATTGCGTATGGAACGTAAATGATGATGCAGGGCGCGTGGTGGTCTGGGCCTCGGCATGTCGATCGTTCTCCGCGATCGCGTCCTACGCGTCGCTCCACCATTGACCACCCATCGGCTTTGCAACCAGTAAATCTCCGACGACTTATTCTCAGCTTGCGCTGCGGTCAATCAGCGCTTCATAAGTCTCAGCTTGAATATCGTGAATACAGCACTCCTGCCACTTCACTATGTCTATATACACTATCCTGCATGTCATAAGTCAAATCGGTGTCTTTCACATCTACTGTCGATGTCGCGACCACCACGTATTCGCAAATACATCAATCACTTCATAGCATGCTTGTTACCTTTCAGTCTTTATGTTTAGGTGCTTTCAAGCGGGCATGTAGTTCTTTGAATGTTTGGGTAGCATTTTGGGATATTTGATTCAAATATGGTTTTTCCGTCTGCCTACTCTCCTTTGATGCCTAAGAACACTCCATACTCTCTTCTTGTTCTACAAGAACGGGAAATGTAGAATGTCGATATTTTTAGTGATGTGTAGCTAGCTATAAGATGGAAAGCAAAAACCGCTTCGTTGATGAGAAGACATACGGTAGATTGCAAAGTACATACCGACTCGACCGGAACGAGATGACATCAAATAGCTTAGTCGTCATACAGCGAGTCGTGGTCATCGTCCTCCTGAGCAGTCTGGCCAGCGGCGAACTGCTCCTGGAATTGGTCCTCTCCTTCGTCCGTGAAGTGGTGCTCTTGAATCTGTCGATCTTGAGCCTCCGGCTGTTCTGCGATGCCTTGTGGATCGATTACCTCGTCGACTTGGTTGATACCGTCCTCCTTTCCATTTTCATCGTCATCAGACTCTTCACTGTCGCTGATCTCAATGACTCGCAAAGCCTTGGCCTTTTCAGTAAGCTTGAGGCTGATATCTCCCAGATATTGCGGCTGCTGAACGTCGAGCATGCCCTTGGAGCTGAGTCCAAGCACCATCATGAAACCCTGACAAGCGATAATATTGGTGTTCTCAGTAGGCAGGAGGAGCTCCTCAAAAGTGATGTCTTCAACGTCAGCAGCTGCTTCGGTTCCAAGCACATCAGACATATGTTCTGGATATGTTTGAACCCCCTCGCGCTTCTCGACAATGCGTTCGTTGACGAAGCTAAGGAAGTTCTCGCCTTCTGTTGATAGAGCTTCGCGAATGCGTGCGGATGGTTCTCGAATCACTGGCTCAGGATAGTCCGAGCTGGGGCCTGGTAGGCCAAATTCGTCACCACCGTAATCGACATCGCTCGTGAGATTTCTCAATCCCTCAAATGTGATGGGATTTCCACGACCCTGTAGAGGAGAAGCAGAGACAAGGCGACTTCCGGGTTTACCCTGGGTAGCAGAGTGCATGATATCCACACGTCCGTTCCGGGGTATGGCTGAAGAACCTCGGATGGAAGCACTCACGTTCCATGGCATCGTAGAGAAGATCTGCTGATCATCAAGAGAGGAAACATCTTCACGAGGTAATTCGACAGCGATGTCATCGTCGCCAAGTATGGGAAGATCCTCGTTGTCAGCTGAACGACCGATCTCGGGTTCACCAGTTTTTTGACGCACGCGACGAGATTCTTCTTGAGTAGCATCATCAATACCACTGTCGCGATCGTGCTTTGCTCCAGCTGTCTTGTTGCGAGTTAAGCCAGTGATAGACTCAAAGAGGTTGTCCCCAATGAACATGTCGAACGGACTAGGGCCTTGGCCACCGAGGATGCGTTGACCAATACCACCGATGCCAGATCCCCAGACATAGTGCTCAGCATTCTTCTTGGCTTGGGTAGCAATGCGGCTCTTGGTCTTCTTTTGAGCGGCGGCCTTCATGTTCTGACGGTAATTCTTTGTCCAATCTGCCAACTCCTTATTACGAAGCTCAATGGCTGAGTCGGTAGGAACAATCCGTGGAACTCGGCGTCGGTGCATGGGCGCGGCGAACGTGTCAGAAGATTCGACAACTTCCGAATGTACACTGGACTGCTGCTGACTGGCTGATGAGAATGCGTTGCCTTCAACCACACCGTCGTCGTATATCGGGAACTCCGTGTCGGCCTGATCACCAGGAAACTGGTATGGGTCAGTCTCCATCTTGAAAGACAAAGGTAGCGAGATATGTAACGATGATCAAAAGCGAAAGTTGTGAGAGAGTAGAGGAGATTCGGAGAGAGAAGAGGTGCAGACCACAAGGCAAACAAGGACGTCCTCATGCGCCCGAGTGGGCTCGGGTGGCAGCAGTGAGGTTGTGCATCGCTGTATCCTGAGCCCAGGTAAGGGCAGCGAGGCCAGCCGCAAGACCAGTGGCTGATATCGCGATGCGAAAAGATATGAAAGAGCGCAGTAAAACTCACCTGATTACCAGCCCGATGTCCCTTCATGTGCTCCTTCGGAGCCCACGCGCTCGTTCTAGCATCGCTAGACATCGTCGCGCCTGGGGTTCTAGCTGTGGTTCTATCCACCGAACGCCGTGGTGAGAACTGAATGATCTCGCCATCATCTGCGAACATGAAATCTGGATCTTCAATCTCTATCGTGTTGCGAGAATCCACGACACTTGGCACACCACCACTACTCATTCCATCGTCGCCTTCGAGTCTAAACTCGCCTGCCACGATAGGAGACGACGTAGGCAAGACGAGTCCACCAATAGCACTAGCATGAGAGGAAGATAGTGATCGCTGGGAGCCGAATGGAGTCAGTGATTGGGAGTCTCCAGAGCGCGTAATGTCGAGATTGAAGTTGTGGTCTAGCTCTGAAAGCAAATCTGGGGGAGGGAGCGCGAGCTCGGGAAGAAAAGATGGATCATCCTCGAAGATGAGCTGCTCTGGTCTGTAAACTCTCGGTGAGCGAAGCGCTCAGTGTGCAATCATGGTGTTTGCTTACCTAGCTTTGCCAGCATCTGGAACAAGCGCAGTATTCTTGACTGTGCGTAGCATCAGCCGCAGCGTGTTGTGCGTTTGCTCCGCGTCTGAAAGAACATATCCACATTGTTGTAAGTATACGCGTGATACACCATACCTGCATGTATTAGTGGATTGTTCTCTAGAGGAGACATGTTGGTGTAACGTACAGCAAATTGCTCTGCAGGCGCAGAGCCATTGGCGCCACAGGATCGACGATGGTCTGGCATGCTTTGGATACGTCAACCTTGAGGATTTGCTTGCGGTTGATGCGCCTTAGGCTGCTGGACTGGCCAAGCGTCGCGACAATCCTGCCACCTCTGTCAGGACTGGGAAGGAGTAGCTGGACGTCTTTCCGACATACCACACAGTCGCCACGCCATATTTGCGCGACGTGAGTACTACGACAGTTAGTTTTGCGCTTGGCATCTAAGGTCTCGAATTCGAGCTCACCTTCGTGACTGTAAAACATATTGTTGAAACCTAATACATAGAATTGACAATCGTACTGGCGTAATGATACAGGTAGGAAATTGCGGCGTCTTGCGAGTAACACGACTTATTAAGACAGAAACGCTGTGGTAGACGGAAGAGAAGGAAGGAGCGGTCCTGGAGGTGAACGTAACGACCCTGGAAGGGCTTGGCAGCAGGCTCCGACGCACTTCTAGTACGCGTGGTGAGGTGAGGACGAAAGGGGATGAGAAATATTGGGATACGCCTCCGACACTGAACATGACACGACTCCTCTTGCGTATACATGCTGCACAGGAAAGGGTTTGCTGTATATGAACTGTAAGAGAAGATACTAACAGAAACACACATCGTTATTGAAGTGCTCTCTTGACATAAAGTTCTGTGAATTCCTGCGGGATTAGTTGCTTCAAGCAAATACCAATACTGACATATGACACACTCTTGCTCAACAGCGTTGTGCCGGCACCAGCACGTCCACCAGATCAATAAGCTTAAATAGCAAAGAGCTTAAGGTAAATGTCTAATTCCTGGTATCAATGTCGTGGAAACGTGCACTTTGTCAATCTAATATCGTGTCTATTAATGCAAAGTCTTGAAGTCATGCCATCGTTACTTAAGTTCAGTGTACCATCTTCTTGCCTTTGCAGTTCGTACAACGCCGAATGCCATGCATTACATGCTGCGCCGATTCCGTTTACGCTTCGGCTTTCCTGTGGCCATCAGATGCCAGGCGTCAGGCATAAAGTAGAACGTCGAGTCAGTCTATGAGTCGCCCATCTGTACGTCCTCATCGATGACGGGTAGAGGAACGGCGCGGTAGAGGAGGATGAGAGCCGAATGGCTTTGGCCTAGAGCATGTTAGTAAATAGTACCTCGAACGATCCGGGACACGTACCTCCACCAGACAAGGTCTGTATCCTCTCCGCATCA